AAAGGGCTACAACTTTTCTTCAAACATCGTTCTCCAATTAGATCGTTTACTATTTCAAAAATGAGTCCCAATATGAGACTAAAAATCCGAAGCAAAACTTTTCAGTTGGAATTTGATTTGTGATCATCTTTTGACTAAATTTGATCTCTTTGACATCTTTCCTCATCCAATTGGCTCCGAGCACCCTCAAATCTTCATCGTGGGGTTTGGCATAACTTTTAAGTATTTGTAATTTAGTCCCCAAACTTTGGATATCTTTAAATTTTGCCAAATTTTGCTTATTTCTTTCAATCTCACTAATCTACATCACAACATCAAAACACACATAAAAACACTCTAAAACTTTCTCAAGGGTAACAAAATAATGCATTAAGTAGCATAAATATCATGAGTGTGGAGCACTCATCAGAGACCTAGAACAGGTTGGAGTCGGGAAGGGTCCCAACTACCAATTCAGAAGGAGATATTACCTTGTTGTGATTTGTGAAGGTAAGAAGGATCACATACAACTTTTTTGCACTTAGATGTTTCCCCCTCTGACGTTACACCAATTACCATGCCTTCATCGTTAAATTCTACCTTTCATTAGAGCAACTCCATGTCAGGACTCACGACGACACCACATCCACACTTACAATAACAACAACAATAAACCAACAACAGCAATAACAGCAGTCAGATTGATGATGGTCACAATTATAAATTTAAGGCAATCATCAAACAAAGAAAATAACTGGAGGAATGACAAAAGTGACAACAATGACTAAACAATTAATTAATGGCAATGATTACACTAATGGCTTAAACAACCATGTTGACAACAAGAATAAGATTAAATGGGTTCTTTCAATCTTATTAAAAAGTGAGAGACAAAGCCGAAATAACTTTTTTTTACCTTTGTTTATTTTGGCATTCCTCCATTTTTCTTCCTTGAGCACTTTATGAGGGGACATAGTTCTTATATTTCTATTTCTTTGGGTACATACGTGGTGGGGGTTGGAAGGAGAGAAAGAGAAGGAGAAAGAGAGATGAAGGTATACCTTGCATTCGGGTTTATTCAACATGTAGGTTCCACCGTAAACAGCACTAAGACGAGCAAATGCCTAATGAAATAAATTGAAGTACAAGACTTCTATAAGAACATGGTGGATCCAGAAACTTATAAGCAACAATGCACTAGATTGTAACATTACATGGTACAAGGCGCAAGAGGGAATATAAAGTCAAATAAGAACGGGAAAGAGAAGATTTGTGGCTCAGTAATAACTGAATAGATAAATAATGAAAAATTAAGCTACATAGATATTTCTTGTATATTTTGCTCATTCAAGGCATTTCTGTTATCTATTGTTTCAATTGTATTCTCTCCATATTT